GAGAACTTCCATGTTAGTGCCCTACCATTTGGCCTCAATGCGGCCCCAAGAATCTTTCTATGTGCTTATAGTGTTATTGAGAGTCCAGAACTCCACCTGGTTCCATTATCTGGAGGATCTACTTGTGATAGCCTTAGACCCTCAGAAGGCAGGCACACATAGGTATATAGTTCTTTCATAACTCCTAAAGTTTGGCTGCTTGATGAATATCAAGAAAAGCAGTTTCAGACCAGCTCAGTGATTGACATTCCTGAGTTGAAAATTCTAGGCTCTGCTTTTCCCTATCTCGGGAACAGTTCCACAGATTGTAAATGTTTTCTCTCCCAGTTTCTTCATTTCTGCTTGGTAACAGCAAGAAAATAGATGCAACTACTAGGAATCCGGGCTTCCACCAGCAGACTTGTCAGAGGGGCCCAATGGCATCTTTGGATTCCTTACAGATCCTTCCTATCTTGGTCTAACAAGAGAGAGATTATTGGAGCCAGCCACTTACTATGTCCCCATCAGTGGAGTTGCACCTTATCCTGGCTGCTGAAAGAGGGATTGGATCTCTGAGTTTCCAGTGAACAGAACCTCATTGGTCAATTATTAGCTCGAATTCCAGTTTTTATAAGATTGGTTGCACAGTGTTTGGACCATGTTGCACAATATTTCCATTCATTTGTATGGAATTAAGAGTCATTTTCTAGGCTCTTCTTCACTTCAGAGGCTTGCTGAAGAACGAGTGGGTCCAAATTTGCTCAAATTTCAATGCAACTGTATCCTATATCTACCAAGATGGGTCTCACAGATACGTATTGATGGAATTCCAGCCCATAATGATCAGGGCACAGAAGAACAACCAGTGGCTCAAAATACCATGGCTGTTTGCTGGAGCCAAATAACTGTGCCAAGGTGGATTGGCAACCATGTCCTGACGGATCCTCGTGGTTGACGCAGATTGTTTGATGGCCATTTCTTGGAACTACCAGGTCCAGAAGTATTTTTTACATGCTAGGACCAGAATGCTCAGGTTCAGGATACACTGGCTCAAATTTAGAATTTTAGTATGATGTACATATTTTCCTGTTTTCGACCTTCTTAAAAAGGCAATGCAAGAGGTGACAGTGGAAGACCGTGTCGACTCTAATTCCTATGATGAATAAGATGATTCTGGAACCTCCAAGGGAAATTCCTGTACGTCCAGACCTATTACAAGGCCCCATGACACACCAGGATCCTCAAGTTCTGGTGTTGATGCGGGAGTCCATATTAGTATAGGCATCCCTGAGACGGTCATTGAGATCCTCTTACAATCCTATACAGGCTTTACTAAGCTTGACATGCTTTTGTCTGTTGGAATTACTCCTCGTTCAGGCCTTGAAAGGTTCTGTGTTATAACACTCTAGAGGAACACTTAGCTGCACTTTGCTTCATATAGGCATTGATTGAAATCATGCCTCCACTGAGTGTGGTGAAGCCAATATGTGACATACCAATGGTCACACGAGCCCTGACTGAACCATTATTAGAACCTCTAGAAGGAGCTTCCATGGTGGTAGCACAGAAAGTGCTGGTGGCTGGTACCCCAGCAAGAATAATGGGTGAACTCCAGGCTTGGTCCTGTGAACCCCCTTTCACTACTTTTCAACAGATATGGTCGTCTTGCATTTGGCACCTGAAGATCCTGCCTATGGTGAATGCTTATCTATGTCATTCTCTACCTGTACTGAAGGGAACCGATTGAGCGTTGATGCCCCTGGTGTTTTGCTTCATGTAAGCAACAATTGAACTCAAGCCTCCGCTGAGGGTCTTGAAACCAATATGTGACGTACCACTGGTCTCACAGACTCTGACTGTACTTCTAACAAGAGCTTCCATGATGTTAGCCCAGACGTTGCTGTTGCTAGTGACTGGTACCTCAGCAGGGTAAATGTGTGCACTTGCTGCACTTTGCTTCATATAGGCATTGATTGAAATCATGCCTCCACTGAGTGTGGTGAAACCAATATATGATGTACCACTGGTCTCATGGGCCCTGACTGAACCATTATTCGAACCTCTAGAAGGAGCTTCCATGGTGGTAGCACAGACAGTGCTGGTGGCTGGCACCCCAGCAAGGGAAATGGGTGAACTCCAGGCTTGATCCTGTGTACCCCCATTCACTGAATTTCAACAGGAGATGGTTGTCTTGCATGTAGCACCAGTGATCGTGCCCAAAGTGAGAGCCTTTCAATGCCGTTCTCTACCTGTAGCAAAGGATTTGGGGCATTCTCCACTAGTGCTGTTACAGCATCTCGTGGGCTTCCATGGCAATGGTCTCTGCTGAAACTTTGTAAAGTTGGCATTTTGACCTCTTTGAACTAGTTTGTCCTGCATTACATATTGGACATTGAAGCAATTAACGAGGCACAATTTGGACGTCACGTCCGTTCTCTACCTGTGCTGGAGGGTATCAGGGCACTCTCCTCTCATGCTGTTGCAGCATCATGGGTTGCCATGGCAATGGTTTCTGCTGACACTTTTTGTAAGCTAGCATTTGAACCTCCTTTAGACACGTTTGTCTGGCATTTCATACTGTTCGTTAAAACAGTCTATGGTGCACAATTTGGTACTCAAGTACTTAACTCAGTTCATTCTTCTATCTATGTTGAATTATTCTGATAATTTGATTGGCTATTCTGTCCCTCCCTTTGTAAGCTTGGGTATTCCCCATGTGTATATGCTGCCATGATTAGCCAGGAAAGTGGAAAATGTATTCATACTTACCGTAATTTTCTTTTCCTGGCTATTATTCATGGCAGCATATACTTCCCTCCCATTAACGTCTCTATTTATGTACTGTAGAGCTTGTAAACTGACTGAGGACCTTAGGGATGGAGCCTCCTTTTAAAACCTTGGTGGTTTTCCTGTCCTATCGGCTGTAGGGGAGGAGCTAACCCATGTGTATATGCTGCCATGAATAATAGCCAGGAAAAGAAAATTACGGTAAGTATGAATAAATTTTCCACTATATGATGTTGGCTTTTAAAATGAACATAGTTTGCTTTTAATATTGCATATAAATATACTATTTCCTAATCTCCTGTTTATATATTGTGATTTTCTGTCTGAAGACCAAGAAATGTGTTATGTGTATTAATGGTCAGTATTTAAAGGGAAAAAGTAAGTGTTACAAGTGTTAAGGTGATCTGGAAATCCTAAATATAGATACTGGAAAAAAAGCAAATCAGCACTTCTATTTCAAGAAATGCTGGCTCATATTGCTAAACTCTTTTTGTTTACTTTTAAAATAGCAGCAAATATAATCTATTGAAATGATCATTAAAATACACTTGGCTTCCTCTTTCGTTGCTGCTCCACTAGACTAGATAAGTTCTACCATGACTTACTGCTTATATTTGGTTCTTCCATATATTTGTATACATCCATCCAAACCTCACTGTTTTATATTAAAAGGTTCTCCTGGGTTCCATTTGTCTCCCCTTCTGGGTTGGTGACTCCCCTATGTCCTGCTCTCTTCCCTATCTCCCTTTGTGCACTTTGCTGTTCCAGCAGCCATCTTGGTCCAGTCAAACCTCTCCTACGTTTCTGCATTTTTTTCTATCTCTCAAGCACTGCCACCACTCCTCTTTTTTTCTTTCTCTCTGCTTTTGCATTGTGTCACTTGAGTTATAGCACACAAGAGCCAGAAGGCCCCACAGCCTCTTTGCCATTTTGATAGCATTTTATGTTGTGTCCTGTTAACAATCATGTACTGGATGTCCTCCAATACTTTCCCAGTTTGGACGTTTGCTTATTCCTCCTCCTTTTATTACACTGTGTTTATTTTCTCTTTTCTCTATTTTGGGGTATGTTCATTGCTGACACACTCCCAACATATAAATAGAAGTACCCTATGCCATGTTGGGGTTCCTAGTGACCCAATAACACATTTGTGATTACATACACAGATTATCTGGTCTCTTGACACAGCTATTCCTGACTATCCTGATATCTGGCTTCCCTGACCTAGCTTCCTTTTGATTCATTTAGCAGAGCCACTCTAAAGACAGGTTAACATGCATTCTATTCTCTGGGTTTATACTCTTCCTGGGAGGAGGGGATTTCCTCTTCTGTTACTATTTGTTAGGTTGGCTCCTTGTCAGTTTTCATGGTGGAATCCTTGGTACAGAATTACTCCCACTACGTTTCGTGAGTAATCACCAGTGAACCTAATGGTCTACTATTTATGGCCGCAACAGCCAAGGGTGTTTCTTTCTCTCTTAAGGGTGCTTCTTAACAAAGCTGGAATCGAGGAAGTTCTTAGCCGCACTGGAGTCAACCAAGGCGCTCTATCAGCAGAAATGTCATAATATAGGGATATAGGGAGAAGCAATGTATTTAGAAGCAAGTGAGGGAACTCTGATGTAACATACAAGGCCGGTACCCTAAGTGGTCTTAGGTGCGAGAGGTTTCCGGATGAATGGAGTGACACTCTTTTTGCATGCAGCCTATTTTACAACAGTAAAGACAGAGTACCTCTTTCCTCCTTTTCTGCTTCAGTAAGCATTGTAACCCAGTTGCATAGGTTCTGTCTCTGGCATGGTGGGAATCTTGGGATTGACAACCTTAGGCATAACGGATACAGTAAGATGTCTGTTACTACTCTTGGTATACTGTCAATCTTAAACTCTGCTATCTATATTGATGAGGTTGTCAATCTTCCAATGCTACAGGGAGTTCTCTGCCAGCTGGAAATTGTGAACCAGAGGGCCATTAGCCTCCCAGTTACACAGTAATCAGTCAGACACGCAAAGAGTCAGTAACAAAGCCAAGTCAATACCTTGGACTGAATGCCACACCACCCAGTGGCTGCATGCGGCTTGGTAAGGGGAACATCCCTTCTACATATATATGCTTTCCCTTGCTTGGACAGTAGAAGTGCATGGAGTAGCCTGCCCAAAATGTGCAGTAGCTCTGAGTCCAGGGTTTCTTCGGAGATCCCCTGACCTTGCCACAAACCTTAGGTCCGTTTTGGCTTATTGCTGTTTCAGCTCTTGTATGGTTTGCTGCAGAAGCAGTGTTTGCTGAGCATTTTGGCAAGTGTCTTGTTCCAGTGTGCCCATGCTGCCTGTCAGGCCTCTCAGGTCTTGGCAGATTTGGGCCTTGTTGGCTTTTAGCGTGTGTTGAAGGCCCACCAGCAGTTCTTTCAGGACTGCCGCTGTGACTGGGGCTGAGTCTGGTGGTAAGTGTGACGGCTTGGAGGCTGCTAGTGTGGGTACGTGATGCTCCACTGCGCCGTCCGAGAAATCATCTCCGATATCAGAGGCATTATCTGCAAAGGCGTCATCTTGGGATCCATGGCGCTTTGAGCCTGTCGTCAGAGGTCCCCAATATTCCTGCTCTTTTTTTTTGTTTTTGCTTGTCTGGCTTAGATTTTCTGGTTGCACAACCCATTGTGCTGTTGCCTGCCCAGGGGTCTGTGTGGGGTTCCTGTTGAAAGGGGTTATAGCCTCGTATTCTGCAATAAATTGACTTGTTGGGGCAGAGCAGATCCAACATGTGGCCATTCAGTACAGCTGCATGGCTCCGCCCTCCCATGTTATTTTTTTAAATGGG